ACCCAAAATGAGGCAGAGTCTAATCAGCTCCAGATGTTCTACTCACAGCTCCAGCTTCGGTCTTGGCTGTCACCTTCCCCCCTTCCCTGCTCTGCACTGTTGCTTTCACAAAGGACTCCTTCGGGTCCGCCACAAAGACTGATGTCTTGGCATCAAAAGGCTTGTTCTGAGCTTCAATTCGCTCCTTTTCAGACTTTCGGAGGAAAGGAGCAGCCTCCCCAAAAACGGCCATCTCTGAGTCAGAACTCATGGCTGCAGGTTATTGATGGCAGCCCAATAAAGGACCCTGTCTGGCAGAGGAAGAAAAGAAATTATAGAATTTCAGAAACTGGATCATTAGGTTTACATTTTAAACTTTTTTTAAAAAATTTACTGACCAGTTGAGTGCCTAGCATTGCATTGGGTATGACCACCTCCCTGGCTTTGTTGAGGATAAAATGTCAGTCTCTTTGTTCTGTGCCAGTGCTGACAGATACTTAATTATGCATTTGGAATGAGACTTGTTCCTGGTTCACCTACTGCAGTTTCTTAGCCACTTTCTCTGTTTCATATGTATATTAATCTTTATAAGCTGCCTATCATTGGCTTATAGAGAACATAAAGCTACGATGGTGGCAGGATCATCTCTAGTTCTTTCACTCATCATTTCATCTTCCCAATTGGATTATAAGCGCCTTGCAGGCAGGGAGCACTCTTCTTTTTATGGTATCTTTCACACCTCTTAGAACACATGCTGGACACAGAGAAGGACTCAAAGCTGGCTTGGTGAATTAAAAGAACAATAGGAATATGTTGCTATAATTTTAGGAACCATTCTGTACATGATGGAAATATTTTCATCATAAACTTGGCAGTTACAAAGACTAATATAAAGGAAAGCAGAAATGCATGGATCTTTGTTTTGCATTGTTAAAAATATTCTATTATACATCAATTTCTGTTGTTTCTGTATAATTTTGACAAACTCAGCTTCTTCACTGGTCTTTAGCATTTCTCAAATACTTATTATAAAACATTATTGCCTATGTTTTCTTGCTTTATTGTTAATATTTTGATAACAATTTCACAAAACTTGTTCTTTTCAGGATCTACCTCTTGCCACATTAACTAGCATTCACTAATGCTATCAATACTTTTCATATATATTCTGCTTTGTAATCATAAAGATACCTTTTCCAGGAAAGCTTATTTGGATATATTTTTTTTTCACATTTTTCTCATTGAAACTATATTGACTCAGATAACATAATTAAAATGCTTCATCTTGCTGAAAATACTCACAATCATGTTTCATATTGTGTGTGTGTGTGTGTGTGTGTGTATATATATATATATATATATTCATTTTTATTTTACAGATTGTGAAACAACATGCGGATTTAAGCAACTTTTCCAAGGCAAAGATTCAGACCATTCTATTTATCCATTTAGACATCATCTCTCTTAGTTTTTTATATTTATAGTGCTGAGGAAAAGACATAGTATAGAAAATTTAAATTTTCTTTATAATTGAGTAACACTTTGAAGTGTTGCATTGCATGTTGTAATGCAGTCATTTAAAAGATAAACTACAATGCTGGAAATAGACAAAATTGTGAATAAAATTCCCAAAGACTCTGAGAAAGCATTTTCATATATTGCAAAGGATATGAGTTAATGAGAACCAGTTTCTAAAGTCATTCTCTGTTTTCTAAGAAGCACAATTGACCATGAAATGGAAATGATTTTTTATCACTCTCCTAACCCCCTAGCCCCACTGTCCAAGCCACTGCAGAAGATTCCTTGCACTCTGTGAGGAATGAGAAAAAAGTCAGAATCTTACCTTAGAGATGCGACCTTAAAGTGGGTCAGAACTGTAAAAAAAAAAAAAAAAATGAGCAAATGTCTTCTGATTAAATGATAACAATTATAGAATAATTCTTAACTGAGAACCAGGAAATGACTGGGAAGACTACAACATCTAATTAAAATTGTTACAGAGTAAGCTGGTGCTTCACTGGCAGGGCTGCCAGGGACAGTGGGAGCCAGGATGTGTGGCATGCATGTGGGCAGCCAGACATCCCTTACGGTTCCCCAGACAGAGCCCTGTCTTCACACACACTTACCTTGAAGCTTTATGAGGAGAGACAAGTCATACTCATTCCAAGGGCACTTTTATAGGATCAAATATGGAAAACACGTAACCTCCTCCTCTTTCTTAAAACATATTTGGCAAAACATGCTTTTGGCATTGAAGGTCTCCAAGCCTAATTCCCCTCATATTAAAGATGTTTGGATATAATTAGAAATATTTCCTCTCACATTGGGTTAAGTATATGAATCAATCTCCTATAAATAATTTGAGTTGTTGGCAATCTTAAAGCTGTTGGCCTTTGGAATAATGTAAGGTGTTGTTTCAAAGACAGCTAAGTTCTGGAATCCCTGGACTTTGTTGCCTGCTGCTCTTCTGTTTCACAGTCTTCTGTGTGAAGTCTTTTCAACTGCCTGCAGAGTTACAGATAGTATACTAGGGAGGAAAGCTTCTGCTCTTTATCAGAGTGTTAAAAAAAGTTGTTGCTTTCTCTAAAAAAGATTTATTTTCTTTTTTTTTTTTTTTGCAATTTATTGTGCTTTTTCTAGGATGCTTAGAAATTTAATTTTGAAACTGCTTCATGAAGATCAGCCAAAGATAGCTTCTTTTGTTTCCTTCAGTCATTCGCCTCTGATTCATCGTCAGATCATTCCACTCGCACTTCAAACTTGCTCCGAAATTGCATTGTCTTGCCAAGCAGAGATGTCCTGCTTCTCTCATTTCTTTCGATGTGCAAATTGCTTGTGAAATCTTGTTTACTCTGTGAAACTCAACATAAGAACATATTGGAAACAGGGCCTTTGTTCTATCTAAATATGCAGCATCGATGATTTTTCCTCTATTAGCTGTCCATGCTGTATATTTAGTATTTTGCTTACAAACAATACCTGAACATTGTTTTTTATTTTAATTTTAATTTTTAGAAAAGTTTATTTTACTGTCTTTGTGGCTTTACATCTCTCCCTGTCAGCATTGTCTGACGAGGACTGGGACCACATTTGCTTAATAAACCTGGTTTTGCACCCACTTCTGTATTATTGTACTTATATTTCAGTTGATTTAATGGCCCTAGCTTGCCTTATGAAACCAGATATCTGGAGATACTAGTTGTAAAGGTCACATGGTTTTATTACCATAAGGGATCATCTAATTCGTATTCCTGATTTTACTAAGAAAGCAACTGAGATCCAAATAATAGAAGAGAATCTCCACAAATCACACAGCAGTTTAGACTCTGGTCACCTGACTTGCGGTCCAATGTACTTGCTTTTGACACTCTTCTACCTGGGGTAGATTAAAGCCATCAGGAAGGGTATTGCAAGGATGTGCGTCTGAGGGGGCCTTTCCTAGCCATCTGTTAGCCTGTGTTGTTACCACAGGTACATAATTTTACTTTCTTACATGTCCGTTTCTTTACTAGGCACCTGCAAAATGTGGGTAACAATTTTCAGGAAAACAGAACATTTCAATAATGCTCTCAACAGGATTTGATGGGAATTTTCAGACAACCTTTTGTCTTGCTCTGGATAAACTTTTCAATAAGTAGAAAGTAAGATTTGTTTTTGTTTATTGCTGCTATGTTATAAAGCACTTAAGCATTTCCAGGTGATACAGGGACAAAGTGAAAGAGGGGCCTATTCAGTGAGAAGAGCAATTTCACACCCTTTCTAGGGCTACTGCGACAGTGTGGACCCAACTTACCTCTTAAACTACCATGTCTAATTTACATCATTTTCACACAGTGCCATTTAGATCAAGATACTCTTACTTTCTATTTGATGGGGAGTTACCATTTAGCTTTTCCTTTATTCTGTCCAGGAAGGTTATATTTTTGGCTATGCATCTCAGCTACGTCCAGTCTAAAAATATTGATCCTCTAGGAAAACGTCTCTGAGTAGTCCAGATTGCTACAATATCTACTTTTTGTACCAAACTCATAACCATCATGTGTGTTGAATATACATTTGAATAATCTACTTTGGACTGGAAACGTAGGCTAATAGCTCATGGATGCTACATTATAACACGTAAAATAATATTCTCTATGTCTCCAGATTTGATAGACACCCTGTAGTTTTCATAGGGAGAAGAGTCATATTTAATAATATTTAATTTAATTTTGAAACTTCTTTCATGAAGAGCAAGGTCATGTCAAACCCATTACCCAGTGCACATACTGTGGGCATATGGCATATTGGAATGAATAATGTAAATATCCATGGGCCAATTAAGAATATTTTAGATTTATATTCTTGATAACAGTTATTCAACAAGGAGAATTAATAATACAATTCCATTTGAATCCCCTATGTGAGAATATAGCAAGTACCATCCTGAAAAAGGTTCATGGTAGGGGAAGCAGGAGCTTTTTCTCTTTTTCTATATTTTTTGAGTCAGTGTCTCATTCTGTCGCCAAGCTGGAGTGCAGTGGCGCGATCTCGGCTTACTGCCACCTCTTCCTCCTTGGTTCAAGCGTTTCTCCTGCCTCATCCTCCTGAGCAGCTGCGACTACAGGTGCCCACCACCACACAAGGCTAATTTTTGTATTTTTAGTAGAGATGGGGTTTCACCATGTTGTCCAGGAAGATCTGCATCTCTTGACCTCATGATCCTCCCGCCTCAGCCTCCCAAAGAGCCGGGATTACAGGTGTGCGCCACTGTGCCCAGCTCACAGGAGCTTTCTAAGATTTTACTGCACCCAGATATCAGGAAAGGTTAGAAAGAAATAAAACTGGCCTCCAGATACCTGTTCCTTAGACAGTCTTTCTTGATAAGTGATGCCCTAAGTGTTGCTGTAGACACAAAATAAAAGTGAATACATAAATACTTCTTAGTCGCTGATTGAACATGATTGCTTGACAGCTCTGTGACTATTCAAACTTGACATGGCTTCAGGAAAGAGAAAAAAGACAAGACCAGGCTAAGGATATTGTTTGCAAACTACCCTATGGTTTATTTCCTTTGCAACAGGGTAGAATACATAATAATTACAGCAGGAAATGACCAAAGATGTCACATTTTGTGCCTGTCTTCAGTCATTCCATGGCATCAGTACATGATCACTCTTCACTTATGATTTTTGTGTGAACCTCCCGGCTCTTCACCCGCAGTTTGTTGACCTGGGACTCAGCAATGTCAGCCCGTTCCTCAGCCTCCTCCAGCTCGTGCTGGAGCTTGCGGAATTTAGCTAGATTGGTGTTGGATTGTTCCTCCTGTGAATAAAAATGAAATTTTTATTCACATAAAAACTCATGCTTGCATCTTTCTAGACTCTCCAGACCTAAGAGAAGAAAGGGCTTGGCATCTGTGGAGAAGCAACACCTAGGGCTTATCATTGAAATTAATTTTAAGATTTATTTGGGGCCTTGGTGTCTCATATATATATATATATATATATATATATATATATATATATATCTCACATCCCTATTTTGGCAACCAAAACATGTATATGTACCACAAGTAGAATAAGAAAAAATATATAAGCTTAGAGAGGAAGGCAAGAATATTAAAGTCATGGTTATTAATGCTTGCTGTATAACTTTCACTTGAGTTAGATTTTTTATCATATTAAGGATGAATTTATTAAGTTTTTAAAAATTGAAGTTAATATTGGACTTTGTCATATGTCGTTTTGGCACATTTCAAAATGGTTACTTTTTTCCCCTCTGCATTGGATGTAATGATTCTTCTGACAGATTGCCTAATATTAGGTAATCTTTATATTGTAAGAATTAAGCAATCACTGGAAGACAATTCCTCTAATAAAGTAAGACTTTTACTACTTAGTAATTTATCTTTGCTGTAACTGTCTTCATGAGTAAAACTGCCTTTAGTTTTTCTCCCTCTGTTCTCTCTTGGACAGGCTTTGGTATGAGGGTTATATGAGCTTCTTAAAATGAACTGGACAGCTTTCCATCTTTTCCTATGCTCTTGAACAGCTTACATAGCTGGGGGATTATCTGTTCCTTGAAATTTTAAAAGACCTTTCTGGACTTGGGTCCATTTCCAGAAGTAATTCAGCCAACTTGGTAATTTATATTCTCCTAGAAAAATCATCAATTTTTTCAATAAAAAATCATGAATTTTTTATTGATAGATTTATGTTTTATATTAAAAAGTAATCCTTTATGTGTATAGCTTATTCCCTTTCTCATTTCTAGGGTTGTTTGTATTTTCTCCTTCATTTTCCTGGATTAAACTAGTTGTAAGTACATTTATTAATTCCCCAGAAGTTACTAATACTATTGAAATTATCAAGTAGAAAATAGTATACTCTAATTCACCAATTTTTACTTATAGTTTTAACAGTACTTCTGTTTTATTATCATTCATAATTTTTTATTGGACTGTCTATTTTTGCTTTTGGTTCAAAATGAAAGCATTTAAAGGAGTGAATTAGTCTCCAAGCATAGCTTTCTGTAGGTTTGTAAAAGTACCATCTTCCTTGTGATTTTACTTATAATTAATAATTATTTAGTAATTATGTTTTTATTTTCACTTTAACCCAGGAGTTATTTAAGAAGGTTAGTTTTTTAAATAGTTAAGTACCTAGGGATTTTTCTTTGTATTTTGCCATCACTTTACAATTCCATCATACTGTGGCCAGAGAATATGGCCTGTATTATTTCTGCTTTTAATTTTTTTCAGGTTTCTTGGTAGATTGAAAGTTTACTTTTAAAATGAAGCTATTAATATTACAAATGGTACCTAATTATTGTACAAAAACAAACATTAAGTATGCACACAGTATTCTATAAAGCAAACAGTTTATTTACTATACAAGGTAGTAATTATTAGCTTAATTTGAGGACTTCCATCTTAAAAATACTTACAGCTTCCTCAGCTTGTCTCTTGTAAGATTTCACTTTTGCCTGAAGCTTATCTACCAAATCTTGAAGCCTGAGAATATTTTTTCTATCTTCCTCCGTCTGAAAATTATAAAAAGTTCAGAGCCTTAGTTACTGAAGCACATGACTATTGCTTCATTGCATATGAGTCTTTCACATAGACTTTGACCAGTGCTTAGCTGCTAAAAACTACTGCTGTACCTGGTAAGTGAGTTCCTTCACTCGCCTCTCATGTTTTCGCAGACCTTTGACGGCCTCAACATTACGCTTTTGCTCACTCTCAACCTCTCCTTCCAGCTCACGTACCTACAAATAAGTAGACTATTAAGAACTTTGATCTAATAAGGCACCAAAAGCACATGGAAATCAACAGATATTGGGAGACCCACCCTGGCCTCCAGTTTCTGGATCTGCTTCTTCCCACCCTTCAGGGCCAGCTGCTCAGCCTCATCTAGACGGAGCTGTAGGTCCTTCACTGTCTGCTCCATGTTCTTTTTCATCCGCTCAAGGTGGGCGCTGGTGTCCTGCTCCTTCTTCAGCTCCTCAGCCATCATGGCAGCCTAATTAGCAAAATAAATTAAGAAAACCAAGAAAGTTATAGATGTCAGGAAATCTTACAGCTAAATCGGTGGAGAACTATGCCTGCCACTCACATCAGTGATGGCCTTCTTGGCCTTCTCTTCTGCATTGCGGGCTTCCTGGAGAATGTCCTCCATCTCTCCTTGCATTTGGGAAATATCTGTCTCCAGCTTCTTCTTGGTGTTGATCAGGCTGGTGTTCTGTTTAAAAAAAAATTGTACATTTATTGGTAACCACTTGAAGAAAATTCAGATTAAAATTTGCAAGTCAAAAAATATCCTTTAATATTAAAGAATTAAAGGATTGTGTTATATAGTACAACTCCATAAAATAGAAATGTTATAGAATATTCAGTATTTCAAGTGCAGAGGTTACAAGTAGACCAAATAGCTCTTTACCGGTAGACCATTCACAGGGATAAAAGTATAATAAACATGTTCATAACATTCCATTTCTCCACAATAAAATGTGAATATTGATAATGAGGGCCAATAAAGATATTAACACAATGGAATATGGGGCAACCTTAAAATATTAAATGAAGTGAATCAACAATAATTTTTCAAAGCAAAACAGTGAAAGATTTCTCGATAATACAGAATTCCTATTTAGTATTATTTGAAAAGAAAATTTGGTAGACATATAAGGCCTGGCTGTCTTATAAAAATTCAGGCTTATCTATTCTGGGACACATAAAATTTACTCTAGGAGAGTTCTTTGTGCTAAATCCCACCTGGGTGTGGAGGAGCTGGACACGCTCACTGGCATCCAGGAGCTCCTGTTCTGCAATTTTCCTGCTCCTCTCTGTCTGTTCCAGAGTGGCCCGCAGCTCCTCAATCTCAGCCTGCAGCAGGTTGGCTCTGCGCTCCACCATGGCCAGCTGCTCCTTCAGGTCTTCCTGACTCCGGAGAGCATCATCCAGGTGGATCTGGGTATCCTGTGGAACAAACCGTCATTGAGACACCATGTTCTCAGGGTCCCAGGCACCCCAATTGTCCTGGGACCATCTCTTGGACTCATTTACCTTGAGGATGCCTTGGGTGTTCCTGTAGTTCCTCAGGGCCTCGGCAGCCATGCGGTTGGCATGGTTAAGCTGGATTTCCATTTCATTGAGGTCTCCCTCCATCTTCTTCTTGAGCCTGATGGCATCATTCCTGCTCCTGATCTCAGCATCCAGCGTGCTCTGCATCGACTCCACGACTCTAATGTGGTTTCTCTTCAGCTGGTCAATTTCCTCATCTTTTTCAGCAATTTTCCTATCGACCTCAGACTTGACTTGGTTCAACTCAAGCTGGATGCGCAGGATCTTTCCCTCTTCATGTTCAAGAGATGCCTTAAGGACAGCAAGAGGTGACATGAACAAGGAACCAAAAGCTTTCTGAAGTTTTTCTGCACACCAACAATTTTGTGTTGTGCCTTTTTATTCACTCTATGCAATAGTACTTAATTCTTCTCCAAATTTGTTTATTATGCACAATTTGGCATGTACCTCTGCTTCTTCTAAAGCAGCCTGAAGTTCACACTTCTCTTGTTCCACTTGTTTCTTTATTTTCTCCAGTTCATGGATACGTTTCCCTCCTTCTGCAATCTGCTCCGTGAGGTCAGAAATCTCCTCTGTTATTTGAGTAAAAGACAGGTAGGGATTAGGTTAAACGTGATGTAAGAGAAAGATTCTTCCAAGTTATGAATATTATTAAATGTGATAGGGACTCACGCTGTAAGTTTTTGTTCTCTCGCTTCAGGGTTTCTAGCTGATCCAAAGATTCCTCATAGGCATTCTTCATCTTGAACAGTTCAGTGCCAAGGGAACGGGCCTCCTTCTGGGAGGCCTCAAGCTCAGCATGCGTTTCCTCATATTTCTGTTTCCATTCTGCCAGGACCTGAAAAACCAAGACCTGTTACCTGCTGTAAAGACAAAGGAATATAGTACAGGGCAGAGGATGCTGGAGGAATTACCTTATCGAAGTTCCTTTGCTTTTTGTCAAGGGCAGCACAGGCAGCGTTTGTTCTCTCCACGTCAAGCATGAGGTCCTCGACCTCATTCTGCAGCCGCTGCTTTGTCTTTTCAAGGGAAGCACATTTGGCGTTCACAGCTTCTACATGTTCCTCAGCAGCCTGCAGCCGCTGGGCCAGCTTCTTCCTTGAAGATTATACATGTTTTCAGAGAGAAGTGAACCATAATATGAATTATGAGCTATGGCCATACACACTGGAGAGTATTGGCAACTTTATATTAATGTTGCTCATCCACCTTTCATTCTTTCAACATATGTTGATGAGCCCCTTTTATGAACCAGACACTGGCTACACAGCAGTGATCCAGACAAAAAAGGTCTCTGCCACGTGAAGATCATAAACAAGCGAGACAGATAAACAATAAGCCAGTCAGAACATCCATAATAATACCTTACAGATAGAAGGGCAGGGAAGCAAAATAAAATAGGGTAAATAGTGGGTAACTACTCTAGGTATTCAGTGAAGACCTCCATGAAGAGGTAATATTTGAGTCAAGAGCTAAGAGAAGCCAGAGAGTGAGCCAAAGGGAAATCTGTGGAGAGTATTTCAGAGGGAACAGTAGGTAGAAGCCCCTGAAGCAGCAAGGAGTTCAGTGTGACTGACAAACAGCAATAAATCCCCTAATTATCAGTGTAGTTATTTGCTTTTCTTTGTTTTCTTAACTAGATTTCAGGATAGTAAGACAGGGACCATATTTGATTTATTCATGTCTTATTCTTAGGGCCTGATTGTGACTGGCACATAGAAGCCAATGAATGAGAATTTGAGAACTAATTCGATGAATCTTCAAAGGTGATGTCTTTCTGATTCAATATGCAAAGTTTTCTCCTCATTCTCTCATATCTGTGCACATACTTGGCCTCCTCCAGCTCCTCTGTGCGCTGGATGGCATCCGTCTCGTATTTGGTCCTCCACTGGGCAACCTCAGTGTTGGCCTTGGACAGCGCCCTCTGCAGCTCAGCCTTGGATTCCTGCTCTTCCTCATACTGTTCCCGCAGCAGGTCGCAGTCATGGCGGGAGGACTGCAGGGCATGTGCCAGGGCGTTCTTGGCCTATGGAGACAGTTACGCCTTCATTTTACTGGATATTTAAATATTTAATTCTTATCTTTCAAAACCTTTTGAAAACTGGTATAACAGGCTCCAGGTAGAATCAGCTCACGGGGGAAAAATCAGTCTTAGAATCATAATTACTTTTATCTCCTCTTCAAGTTGTCTCTTTAGTTCTTCAATCTGTTGAGTAAAGGCTTGTTTGCCCCTTGATAACTGAGACACCAGAGCTTCCTTTTCATCAAGCTGGCGCGAAAATTCACCTGATGGACAAAAGAAATGGTACTGTTTTTTAAGTGAAAAAAAAGAAAAGATGCTGCAAGCCCATGTTAGAAAGAAATTTTAAATCTTACTTTTCCAAATCAAGTGCTCAGATGATTGAATTCTATATTGACATCTTCATGCTCAATGCCAAGTGTTCAGTTTTTACAGTGAAACTTTCAGAGCAGTCAGAATGAATAAATACAGCTTAAATTCTTTTTGTCTTTTCCATAACTCTTTCAGGATTATATTGTATTGTACAAAACCTGGTGATGTCTGTCAAACTAGTAAGCGAAAATGTCTAATTCTACAGAGTCCCCATTCCATAGGACTTTTGAGAGACTGGGTTATTCGTTGCCCCATTCCAGAAGTTAGTTGACCTTAATATAAATGAAAAGAAACTTGGCTTGAAACAGAAGCCCTGGACTCATACTGGAGTAACCCCTAATCCCAATGTCCTCGCAGTGAGCAAATACTCAAGGCCTTTCTGGAACAGAGCTTGATCCTGTCCTACTGAAACCTTTATCTCCAGCATTGCCCCCAGACGACCTTGCACATAGGTCAGGTGAGCTATCTGAGCCCTTCGGTGAATCATACATGTTCTCAGCTGCTTTTATTAGGCTCCCACATCACCGAATCATTTGCTCTTAACCACATCATCTTCACCCTGAAGCACCACAGAACTGGGGAGAATTACCAGATTCAGTCTGCAGGCGTCCCCTCTGCGCTGTGAGGTCATTGATCAGCCGCTGCTGCTCCTCTTCCTTTGATTTCAGTTCACTCATTTGGTCCTCTAGAGTCCGGCACATTTTCTCTAGGTTTCCCTGTATAAGAAAAAGTAAAAGAAGGAAACAGAGACCTTTTAAGCTAATAATAATCACCTTTGCAGTTGCTATAACTTCTCTCTGAAATACAAAATACTGTATCGTAATATATAAATGTATGTATATTTGTATATTAAATACAACATCTTGATATATAAAATAAACAAAAGTATATGTAATGCAATGCATAAGAATTTTTCTTATATTTTATGAAAGCTAATCGTGAAGCTCTGTTCAATATTAATGTAAACATTTTAAGGTTATGTTCTAATTTTAAGATTTTGTTAGAATTGTATATTGTACATTTTCTAAAAGCATGTTCCAAAATACCTCACTGCCTTTATGTATGATGCATCTTTCCTTATTGGGTACTTGGAATTGTTGGAGACCTTTGTTCTCTAACTGGAGACTTGGAGAACACAGATGGTCTGTGTTCAAAAGCTGGTGTTCTCATTTGTTAATGGGATGATGGGTCAAAGTGCTTAGCCTCTTTTCTTTGCATTTCTGCTCCTTTATTTGTTAAATGGAAATAATAAAAATACTATTTTTTTGTGCTTACTTCCCTGAATTGCTGCAATTAACAAATGACTTAATGTGTAAAAACTGCCCCGTGCAAACTGTGTTGTGTCCATAATGCATTATTGTCAATAACTGTGTCCCAGAATTTGTACTACCTTGGCTTTGGAGATCGTTTCTACATTACTAGCAAGGTCATCGATCTCCATCTTCATCTCACTCTTCTCCTTCTCCAGCTTCTGCTTTACCCGCTGCAGGTTATCAATCTGCTCCCCAAGCTCGGCCACACTATCTGCGTGCTTCTTCCTCAGCGTGGCCGCTGTGGCTTCATGCTGCAGGGTGGCTTCCTCCAGGTCCCTGCGCATTTTCTGGAACTCAGCCTCCCTCTTCTTGTTCATCTCAATCTGGGCTGAAGTGGCCCCACCGGCTTCTTCCAGCCTCTCGCTGATCTCCTCCAGCTCCCGGGAGAGGTCAGAGCGCTGCTTCTCTGCTTTGGCCCTGGAGGCCCGCTCTGCCTCGATTTCCTCCTCCAGCTCCTCAATGCGGGCCTGGAAATAGTGAAAATACAAACTCAGCTTCTTTGCGTCATAACTCTGCCTCCGAGCCAGACTGATGAAAATCATGTACTTACTTGCAATTCTTTAATTTTCTTCTGCAATTGAATACCAAGTGCCTGTTCATCTTCAATCTTGCTTTGCAGATTGCTGATTTCAAACTCTTTCCTTATAGAAAAGTAGCAAAGGACAACAGTTTAGTCCATATCTAATGTTGGAAGCAAATCTGTAAGCAATTCTTTCTTACTTACTTTTTGAGCTTTTCATCAAGTTGTTGTTTCTCATTTTCGATGTCCATTATGGACTCTTGGGCCAACTTCAAGTCACCCTCAAGTTTCCTCTTAGCCCTTTCTAGGTCCATGCGAAGTTTCTTTTCTTGCTCCAAGGACCCTTCAAGCTAAATATAAATAACGTTGAATCAGAAGGAATGCTCATCTTCCTTTAGAAGAAAATAATTTCCTTGATGATACTAGGCTTACATCATCCACTTGCTGTTCCAGCTTGATTTTAGCTTTGGTCAGGGTGTTGACTTTGTCCTCCTCTGCCTGCAGGTCATCCAAGGTCTGCTGGTGAGCCTCCTGGAGAGCCTTCTTCTCCTTGGTCAGCTTAGCGATGGTTTCATCCAGACCTGCCATCTCTTCTGTGAGGTTTTTCACCTGAAGAAAGCAGCTTAGTTGCTATAAAGCAGCTTAGCTGGGTGGCAGAGCCTCAATATAGGATTACAGAATGTGATTGATACCTTGTTCTCTGTGGCATGTTTCTCCTTCTCAACCTTGGCCAGTGTCAGCTCAAGGTCATCAATGTCTTTCTTGAGCTCTGAACATTCATCCTCCAGCTTCCTCTTCTTGGCTGTCAGCTCAGCATTGATCTCTTCCTCATCCTCAGCTCTCTCAGTCACTTCTTTGATTTTGGCCTCCAGCTGGATTTTGGTTTTGATCAGCTGGTCACACCTTTCCTCTGCATCAGCCAAGCCTTCAGCTTCCTTGAGTTGGAAACAAGATCAAATTGGAAACAAAGAATGAAATATTTTACAATGATAAGAGGGTATGTTTCTGCATCTGATCTTTTGAATTTCCTATATTCATTTATTTACGCCTTCACAAATTTTTGTTTCACAAACCACCCTACTGTGTGCAATATATTTTCCACATGTAGGCACGCTAAAATGTATCAGTTGTCCTGTTCCCCTAAAAGAATGTATTCTACAGTAGATTAGGAAACCTGTTTCCCAAAAGCTACCATTAATGTGGAAAGCAATTAGTGACATAACAGATCAGAGAAATTGGATCAGAGGTGGTTTCATGAAAGAATTGGTATTTGATTTGGGCCTTGAGAGAAGGGTAGGATTTGGTTTTGCTGATATCAACTTATTGTGGAGAGAAGCAGGAGGGGTGTGGGGAAGCATTCTAGCAGGACAAATTCAAGATACAGCTGCTACTGAATTTCTTTTTTCTTTCTTATTTTTTTTTTTTTTTGGTAATACTGGAGGATGCTTCTAATTGTGATGTACTAAATTCAAGCTGAAATATAAAGTAATCAAGAAATTCCTGGCAACCTGCTGTTTCCAATTAAGGGGATCAGGGCAGGCAGGAAATGAAAGAGACATTGGAATTTATACTTATCAATAATCCTCTATATCAGACTTTGAATACATCAAAGAATACAGGGTACTGTGTATAGCCATACAGTAAATACAGTGGTATAGTACAGATTCTGCATAAATCTCTGGGATCAACAGAAGAGAATACAGGATAGATTTGAAGGGCTCTCTTTCCTTCTGTAATCTAGAAGGAAGAGTTATTACACTGCTCAAAATTGACAGAGAGACCAGTCTTAACACGAAAAAGAAATATGACTTTGTGATAAGTAAAGCAGACCAATTCAGTTCATCCCAAATAAAACATAGTCTTATAAATTATAGTCTCAAGTTGATGGAAGCAGTTCTAAAATGATTGGTTCAGGAGAGGGCAGTGAGCAGGCTGATGGAAGAAGAGAGAGTTGCGAAGTAGGCTGAGCAACTTAGCTGCTTAAGCAGCAATGCGGTTGTTAATGTGATAAGACGCTGACGGTGGAGACAGATTGGAAAGAGGGAGTCTGAGTTTTTTAGATCAGTATCACACGATAATTCAGTAAAATTTGATGTAGAGTACTGTCATGTGTCAGCTGTTCCTATTATAGTTTAAGAAGCATAGACATCTAGAAGTTCAAGGAAGTTTCAGAAAAATGTTACTCTCTCCATGATATCCTCCCCTTAATATTTTATTTGGGATTGTGTCATATTAAAATCATTTTAAGGACTGTATTTAAAGGAAAAAAGTCAAAAATCTTGTGGTTTGATGAAATTGTGTGCAATGGAAGATGAGGGACATTTCTGCCTCACTGCCCTGGTGCTGGTTTCTTGGGGTTTATTGGGCAATGGAAGAATGTTTGGACCTTTTCTTACCACTGGAGTGCTTTAAGCTTTTCCCTCCAATGAGTGTCTCCCATGTGATTACCCAGCTCATGGCCCACAGTGGCCAAAGTTCTAGCACCTGCATCCTGATTAGTGATACCAAGGATGATATTCCAACTCACAGCCTGAACTTGGAGCTGCAAGTCATTTTTTTCTTTCAACAGCGTCACCATCTTTTCTTCAAGTTCCTTCCTTTTTGCCTCTGACTTGGCAAGTTCGTCTTTAGTTTTCTGAAATTCTTCCTTCATGGTGGCCATCTCCTTCTCAGTTTCTGCACTCTTCAGCAGAGGCTTGATCTTAAAGAATAGTTTCATCCAGGGCCAGTGCTTGACGTTCATGAAGGCTCTGATGTTGTATTGGATACAGAAAATGGCCTCCCTGAAATTTAATTGATGCAAATTAGTATTGTGTGGTTGATGAAATGAGATGAAACCTTGGCAGTGAGAGTTGGAGCTTCTGCTCCATCTTGTTCCTATTCTGCTTTCAAACATGCGGATGAAAGAAATTCTATTTTGGGATGATGGTCAAGGTCTTGCCAAGATCACTCATTTCTCTACATCACTGCTTCTCAAACTTTGGTATGCATAAGAATCACCTGAAGAGGCCGGGCATGGTGGCTTATGCCTGTAATCCCGGCACTGTGGGAGGCCAAGGCGGTGGATCACCTGAGGTCGGAAGTTTGAGATCAGCCTGACCTACGTGGAGAAACCCTGTCTCTACTAAAAATACAAAATTAGCCAGGCATGGTGGCCATGCCTGTAATCCCAGCTGCTTAGGAGGCTGAGGCAGGAGAATCGCTTGAACCCGGGAGGTGGATGTTGCAATGAGCTGAGATGGTGCCATTGTACTCCAGCCTGGGCAACAAGAGTGAAACCCCATCTCAAAAAAAAAAAAAAAAAAAAAAAAAAAAAGAAAGAAGAAAAAATCACCTGAAGGGCTTATTAAAATACTGACTCCTGAACCTCATCTCCACAGATTCAGACTCAGAGGATCTAGGGTCGGTCTGAAAATGGGCATTTTTAACAAGTTTGCAAGAAATGCTAATGTTGCAAGTCCAAGGAGAACCCTTTGGGAAGCCTTGCTGTACATCAGTGCTTCTCAGACATTGCTACTAAAACACCACTAAGGATAGTGAAGGGGGAACACAGCTCTTCAGGAATATGTGGGGCATGAGATTTTAAAAACTCAGTATTTCTTTGAAAATCTCTGGCTTTCTATGTTAACGTTGTGTGAATTTTGTATTCCATTCTCTAATACCACTTTTGTTTTCATCTAAATGATTTTTACAACTCATTACCCTATAAATAGACAATTGCCCAAATATATATCGTGGATCATGACCAAAATTTATTATTTTTATTGAAATAGAATATAGTCTAAAATATTAGCATAATTACAAGTGGTAAAAATAAAATTTGCTTCATGTAAATTATTTACATATCTGCATACACATATGCATATGTGTAGATTTATAGGTGGCAATGTAAAATGCCTTTCTCACCACGGAGAAATGGTCCTGGTCATATACATCCTGTACTTTAAGACACCTGGCTCTATAGTCTTTGAATGCTGTCCTTGCATCTAATTAGATCACCAGAAAGCTACATTCCCTGATGACATTGTGTTAACTTACTGCAAAAAGTCTTTCACGGATAAATGGCCCCTCATATTTTAAATCATGATAGTTTGAGAAATAAGTGATCAGAGGGAAAAAGTTGTCTCTGCATCCTGTGTAAAACCACTCTTGAGTATACTGTTTGTTCTACAGTTCAAGTCCCTTATCTAATGATCTTTCCAGTAACTTCATATTAGAAACAAGTGCTAGGGCAAAAGTTTGCCTCTGCTTACTCACTGGTGTAACTTATCTTGTTAGATAAGAATTACACACATTTTATGCTTCTCAAGTTTTTACCCATACGATCAGATGGTGATGGTTCCTTCCTTAAGTTTTCTGGTACATGGATATTCCCACTTCATTATAGGGCTCTTATTCATTCCTTCTTTAGTGTCCTCATCATAAGCTGAGTCTTAACTGTAAGCCATTTCAGATATGTTTTTGAAGACAGAATATGTGAATAAATGTGTGTTTTTATACCTTCTTTCCACCATCTTCTGGTACTCCACTCTTGCCAGGAACCCTCTGCACCTGGCCTGGGTTCGAGTCATCAGCTGGGCCAGCTTTTCATCTCGCATCTCCTCTAGGAGCCCCAGAAGGCCAGCTTTGAAAAAGACCTGAACATGGGAAGGGTTGCAGATCAGAAGGTTTAATAAAGTTCAAAGGGACAGGGACAGCATCAGGTAGGATTTACAGAATATTACCTTGGTGTGCCCAAATTTATACTGGGTGTGGTCAATGTCGATGGACCCAAGGAGCTTCTCAGAAGCCTTCTTGCTATCAATGAATTGTCCTTCAGGGATCGCACTTGCATTTAATACCTTGTATCTGTTAAAGTACATACAGCTTTTAAAAACTAGTTTACTGATGACACAAATAGTAGCTAAACATTAAATGATTCACTTTTTAAAGAAGAACTTTAAAAAAAATTATTATTCTTTGTTCACGCAGAGAACATTGTTTATATGAATGTGAAAATTGCGACCGATTTTTACTCCATTTTGCTTTTCCTCACAGGTGTAACTTTCCTTTCATCTCATCAGATCCTGTCCTTAGGAAAGGGTTCTGTAATCTCATTCACATTGTGGTGTGGCTAACCAATAAAATGTAATGTGTTATCTTTACTAGATGCATTTGCTTTTTAAGGCCGTGAATCCAAGAGAGCTACTTTCATTGAAGAATTTGGTAGAGAGTACACTTTACATATTGGGAAATATCCTAATCACCTCAAATCAAACTTAGACGTGCTTTGAATCTTGAGCCCTGGAATTCTCTGTCAGTGCCACCTGACCCAGGTGGCACTTTCTAGGGGAGATCAGCTTCTGGCAGCTGCTATCCAAGTCCTTCCCCACCTCTGCCTTTTCTGATTCTCAAGATAAGCTTGTCTAGAGTGGAGAAAAAGGACCTGAGGAGCAGTCATTGTGACCTGTTCCCTCTGCCTCCGGGAAACACTGGGAATCTAATATGTGAGAGGAAAAGACAAATGTAAATAATACCAAAGGGAATGACAGATAATGAGTAGCTATGCTTGTATGAAAGAGTTTCTAACTCAACCACTTTTTAAGTATGACTTTGGGCAAGTACCTTCATCTCCCTGAGCCTCAGCTTATTCATCTATAAAATGATGTCTTACTAGTACCTACTTCTACTGTGTTTTGGTGAGGATTAAACAAGGTAATCTAAACATATTAAGTACTCAAAAAGGTCATTCTTATCATTATTGGAGTTAATGTGTACATCTCTGAGCTAAGCCAAGAGGCTGGCAAATTCAATGAAAATTCTACAAAGTGCTTAAAATATTGTATTTTTATATTGTAAAAGTGTTTGAGTCTGGATGTGGTGGCTCACGCCTGTAATCCCAACACTTTGGGAGGCTGAGGCGGGTGGATCACCTGAGGTCAGGAGTTCAAGACCAGGTTGGCCAACATGGTGAAACCCCATCTCTACTAAAAATATAAAAATTAGCCAGGCATGGTGGCACATGCCTGTAATCCCAGCTACTGGGGAGGCTGAGGCAGGAGAATCACTTGAACCTGGGAGGCAGAGGTTACAGTGAGCTGAGATTGCACCACTGCACTCTAGCCTGGGCAACAGAGCAAGACTTTGTCTCAAAAAACAAAGTGTTTGAGACTTGAGACTCATGATTTTTTTAACTTCTTTTTTTGACAAAACCAACAAGTAGAGGCATATGTTTCATGAAATTGTTTTGCTTGCATTAAATTTGTTCATATTAAACTTTAGGATACACTATATTCAGGAGAAACTGACCTTTGTTTGAAGTCTGCGTAAAGGATTCTGCTTGGAAATCCTTTCCTACAGATGCGGATGCCTTCCAGCACACCGTTACACCTCAGCTGGTGCAGGACAAGTTCATGCTCCATGGCACCTAAAAATGCATATTTATTTCACTGCATAGCTGTTAAAAAGGAGGTGTGGCAGTCACCCTTTGCACTTTTATAATAGAACTTCTTACCAGGAGTTTTAGTCTCATTGGGGATGATGCACCTCACAAAGTGAGGATGGGTACTCCTGAGGTTGGTCATCAGCTTGTTCAAATTCTCCTATAAAATCAGGAGAAATCGTGTCATCTTATACTCTAGACATGGATATGAGCAGTTATTGGTGTCTATAAAGTCAATATAGCTGAGTCAAATACCAGTATGGACTGCGTTCTTATAAGGCAACACCTTGAATGCTTCTCCTGAGATATATTTTCCTCTTCAGCAGATCTTTCTGCACTTGGGTTTCTAGGAGTTACACATAGAAAGCATCCTGGCATGTTCCTCTCTTCAGTTTATACCAACACTATCCTTCTTCCTACCCTGGTCCCTGGCCACACACATATATTTACAAGGCCATTGCCTTCCCATGCCAGATGATTGCTCTTTCTTCTAAATTCCATAGTTTGCCAATAAGGAAATGGAAGCCTGCACCACATGTGGACTTTTTCCTTATAATATAGCTTCCCTTTTCTAGCTCTATCAATTTTTAGGGGATACAGATTATCATAGGGGAGCAATCCTACCAATTATAATTGAAAATTGACTCAATTAAGAGCAAGGATACCATATTAGCTTCACTGCAGATTTGCTGCTAGAGTTTATGAGTTTATTAGCTATACTGATGTCTTTTAGTGTCTCTGAGTTCATGTCATTCCTCTTTCTCATAGCTCAGCTAGAGAGCTATGAATGGCAGAGTATTATGAATGGCAGAGTATTATGGTCTATAAAATTCTCTGTAAAACATTTCTCATTATTTGACTTAGCATGAAAAGTGAACTAATAATTTCTGAGTAATTTAAATCCCTTCTTTCCAAAGTTAGATCAACAGAGTCACCAGCTACTATCAATCATTTACTCGGGGAATGATCTTGTACTTTTAAATGCACATTTTACACGTTGGATGCAGTGTACACTGCTCTGGTGATGGGTGCCCCAGTATCACAGAAATCACCACTAAAGAACTTGTGCATGTAACCATACACCACCTGTTCCCCAAAAACCTACTGAAATAAACAACAAATTAAAAAACAAAGAAAAGACAATGAGGGAAATTCTGCCCAGCAAGATTTCAAAGCATATTATAAATTAATTTTAATAAATATAATGTGATATTAGCAGATGAATAGATAAATATATCCTTAGAACAAAATAGAAATTCAGAAAAACAGACCCAGGTTAAAAACAACAGCAACAACAACAGATTCCCAAAGCAACTGGAGAATGTCGAAAACTATTTCTTCCTTACTCTGAAAAGGGCAGACACGGTCTGGAAAGAAGAGCCCTTCTTCTTACCACCTTTCTTGGCCCCTCCACTTGCCTCTGAAGAAAGGAAGAAAAGAAATATAGTTTTGAATTCGCAGGGCTACCTCTTGTCTATTTGCTGATTTCTGTGTTCATCAAGTGGAGCTTTTTTCCTACTCAGCTGGCCTCTCTGTTTGAGCCTGAATGAATCTTATTTTTCAACTAAGTTTGCATCCACTTATGTGTGATTCTTTCTCCAGTGGGAAATGAGGCCAAGGATATTCACCTGATTGTACAGAGAGGGATTCCATAATATTAGGACATGTCGGGAGCACTAACTCAAAAATCATCGATAGAAGTTAGTATTGTGAGGCAGAAGTTTGCCACTCTGCTGTCGCAGATTTATACTCTGACATTCTGTATCCTGCAGATGTGGAAGAAGTAGGAGAGAATCGTAGAAGCTGAGGCTCTTCATTGGTCGAGAGCCTGATGATTCCTCTCTGACTCTGCAATTGGGCTCCTGTCAGTAGTAGAGTGAGTCATAAATGTATAATTACAAGTCAGCCTATCTGTTCAATACTTGATGGAACCAGGAGTTTGGTCTGCAACCCTTGTGCCAGGCCTAAGAGATGACCAGCTTCAATCTAACATCACATGTTGTAATACCTAGAGGCTATTATTAACATTTGAACATTACCTGCTTCAGCAGTTTGAGCGCCAGAGAAGAGAGTAGCTAGAGTTTTCATTGCAGACTTCTGGTACAGCCCAACCACAGTGTCATTCAGGGGGTCCTTGTTTTTATCCAGCCAGCCAGTAATGTTGTAGTCCACAGTGCCAGCATAGTGAATCAGAGAGAAGTGGGCCTCAGCCTTGCCTTTGACCACCTTGGGCTTCTGGAAGTTGGCAGACTTGCCCAGATGCTGTTCGTACAGCTTGTTCTTGAAGGAGGTGTCTGTTGCCTTAGGGAACATGCACTCCTCTTCCAGGATGGAGAAGATGCCCAGTGGCTGAATTCAGAAAAGTAACATTGGTGTCAACCTAACTTCTCTCAAAAGATAGAGACATAGTGGCTGTCATTTGATTGAATTAATTGAATTATGAGCACCTCCACTTAAATATATGCATGAAATAAACCAGAATCATAGTTCAAAGAATTCCCTTGTTATCACTAGAATGACTTTTCCACCATTCTTCTCATATTCAATCTGTAGCATTATTTTCAATTAAAAGAATAGCTGGATACAAATGTCCTCAGCACAGCATGTTAAAATGTTACGTATTATCACAGTTTTTTCCTATTCAGAGAATAAATCTATTGTCAGAGCTTTTCTTTGCTATGAAAAGCACTTACTGACTTGTGATCTATGCAGTAATTAAACAGCATAAACAACCAAATTTTATTTGAAATATTTTGGGTATTTAATTTCTCTAAAATAGATTATAGGCCGAGCACAGTGGCTCATGCCTGTAATCCCAACACTTTGGGAGGCCAAGGCAAGAGGATCACTTGAACCCAGGAGTTCGACACCAGCTTGGGCAACATGACAAAACACTCTCTCTACAAAAAATACAAAAATTAGCCAAGCATAGTGGCACACGCCTGTGGTCCTAGCTATTCAGGCGGCTGAGGAAAGAGGAGCACTTGAGCCTGATGTTGAGGCTGCAGTGAGCTGTGATCATACCACTGTACTTCAGCCTGGGTGACAGAGTGAGACCGTGTCTCAAAAAATAAATAGATAAAATAGATTATGAAGTAGCATATGCAGTTTGACTTCTTGACTTTGAACAGATTAGCTTTCATGAAAGCACTAAGTTTATCATGCATGCGTTAATTTTTATATGAAAAATGTTTTTATCGTGGACATCATGGATCATAATGGAGACAGATCAAGAACTGATGAGGATAGCAGTTGTAGTGAAGCAGACCATCTCAAACAGTTTTCAGTGCTGCGTTAAAGTTGGATCTGATCCAGTATCAGAATAAGAATGGTTAGAACAAAACAGAAGTAAATGCTGTCAGATCTTTCTCATGTAAAAGTTAAAAAGAGGAAGTCATTTCAAAATAGTAATTTTCCAATTTAATCAGATCACAAACCATTTGCAATTACAGCAATACTTTCTAGAATTGCTTGAGATTTCTGGGAAAGGTATCCTTGCAGTCTGCCCTTCTTTGGAAAGCAAACTGACCTTCTCGATGAGCTCAATGCAGGCAGCGAGGTCCATCCCAAAGTCAATGAACGTCCACTCGATGCCTTCCTTCTTGTACTCCTCCTGCTCCAGCACGAACATGTGGTGGTTGAAAAACTGTTGCAGTTTCTCATTGGTGAAGTTGATGCATAGCTGCTCCAGGCTGTTGAACTACACAAAATAATAGAGATTTCCAACATCAAATGAGTTGCTATAGTAGTAAAATTCATTACTGAAAAATTTTTTATTAAAAAATATGGAATGTGGTGATGAGATACAGTTCAAACTAACTGTTGTTGCTTCAAAAAATGATCATTATTCACATGAGCCTTTCTCATGAAATTCCGGGCATTGTTTAGGGTCCCAGATTTCAATGTTACAAGGGTTCTGGTAGAATTTACCTTTTCTCCTCTAAGATTGTATAGGCAAGAGTATACCTTAAAAGAGCAACCATGGTCCTGTGTGTTATGGTTTAGATTCAAAGGTAAAGGGGAAAGGAGTTTATTGGAAAGCCTTACTTCTTTTACCACTCCCACTCTCAAATTCAAAATAAAGTTCACATTTCCACCTTTGGTGGTTATGTAATTAAGGAAAGCTGATCTTAAGATCTTTAATATAAAGGTCTTGACATATAAGGTGAAATCATTGGGCTAATCTTCTATTCATATCAGACATTTAGCAAATCCCCCTTGTTAGGTGTGTGAAAGCAGGGACCTGATATAGCAATCGAAGATCCAGAAGAGTCTTTGTAATATATTACTTCTTTATTTTATGTATGGTGAAGCTGATGCTCTGGAGGTGAAATAGTTTGTGTAAAATGAATCTGGAAGAGGAGAGACTATCATCTGTCTCTATGCTTCTACCTTTGGGCCTCTTCTCCTCTATGAAAAAAGCCTTGTGTATGGACCAAATGCTATAGATCTGGGTTGCTGTTCTGATTTGTCTTATGCAACTGTGGGATCTTCAGCTAGTGCTTTGATTTCCCTGCATCTCAGTTTCTTCTGTATAAGTTGGGGGAATATTAGCTACTCCTTCTTGGCTTGTTTTGAAGATTAAATAAGGTAACATTTTGAAGTCCCTAGGGTACACTGATGGCTCAGTGATTGTTAGCTATTATTATTAGTACATTATGTTACCTCCTATTTTGGAGATAACCCTTGTTCTAGGTGTAGTGTTGGAGCACGTAATATAGACACTATAAATGTGAATGAATAATGATAATACTTAATATACCAAAACCCACAATTACCTCCTTCTTAATTCTTATTAATATGAAGATAACTCACATCAAAGATCTCAAAGCCAGCGATGTCCAAGACCCCGATGAAGTACTGCCTGGGCTGCTTGGTGTCCAGCTGCTGGTTGATGCGGGTGACCATCCACAGGAACATCTTCTCATAGACGGCTTTGGCCAGAGCGCCCACCGCATTGGTCACCTTAAAAAACAAAGATATAACTCTCAAAGTTGTTAGAGGCCTGTGAAAATGCTTTCATCCCAGCAGTTAATTTGAATTCTGCACTTACCTGCTCTACAGTCTGGCCTTTGGTGACATACTCATTGCCAACCTTGACCCTTGGGTAGCAAAGGGCTTTGAGCAGATCCGCAGAGTTCAGACTCTGGAGATAGGCCGCCTTGTCAGCAACTAAAAAGAAGAAAGAATAGAACAATGTTATTATGGCTCAAAGAAACCCACTTCCTTAAAAATACTTTTAAACTACAATTATATTTTGCAGTGTTTTAAATATATCTTTCTGAGTATCCTTACCGATTTTTATCGCTAAGTTCAAGTTTTTGATTACATGGTAGTTTGTTCATGCTTCCCATGGCATGGTATTTAGGTATACAGATACTGTAATTCTTAAAAGTGAATTTACCTTCCCTAGGAAAATTTATAGATAATGAGTTAAGTGTGATTTTCAAACAAATGCAAAATCACATGGGTGACTTAGTTGGTACCTTCGGTGCCATCTGGCTCTGCTTGCTCCTCACGCTGCTTCTGCTTAAATTTCAAGTTCCCATAATGCATCACAGCCCCCGTGAGCTTGTAAATGGAGACCTTTTCTTCATTGGTAAAGCCCAAAATATCAATAGCACTCTGTCAAAATAACCAATAGGATAGCTGTTAGGTTGTGACCCACACACTCACTGTTAATAGTCCATGTTCCCATTGCTGGCCTAAGGAAACTAGCAGTACTAATGGACACAAGGAACCCCTCAGATTGGGTATATAGAGACTTGGTCAACCAGAGGCCAGCACAGAGCATTAGAATTACAGGAGCATACCTTCTGAAGATTCAAAAAGTGAACTTAGAACAGAGAATAAGAATAGTAAGTCTAAGAAACTTGTTATTTTGAGAGGTGGTAAGGATCTAATGCAAGTCAATTGCAAAAAAAAAAATAGTTTAGAAATTCAGAAATGATAGATCTTTAGAAGAATGTAAAGGGTAAGTAAAATGCTATAGGGGCACATCATGCTCTTTTCATTTGACTCCAAGGGGCATGTCCATGTGCATCCTTGAATCTTCCTTTGCCATTTCTACCGGACACTGAATATTGATCTGGATCACCATTACTCTGACCCACTATGATAATTCCAATAATCTTGTGTTCTACTTACATCTGTGGCCATCAGTTCTTCCTGATCATCGATGCTGGCCACACTGATCTCCCCTTGACTGACAAATGGGTAATCATATGGGTTTGTGGTAATCAGAAGCATTTCTAAGTACAAGAAACAGAGTAAAGATAAGCATAATTATCTTCATTAAGGGAAGAGATTTCTAGACAAATTGTGAGGCACTATATGATGCTTGGTTGATAACTGATGGGCACTGAAGAAGCATTTAAAGGGTATTAGGCACCATCACAAATACTTGAAGGTGATGTCATGGTGCTCTTATAAATCTTATAAATGGGAGAAGCAATGTGAAAGATATACAGGAATACTCTGAAATATTTTTGCCACTTTTCTGTAAGTCTAAAATTATTTTTGAAAAAAAAAAAAAAAACTGGTCAAGTGCGGTGGCTCATGCCTGTAATCCCAGCACTTTGGGAGGCTGAGGTGTTCGGATCACCTGAGGTCAGGAGTTCAAAACCAGCCTGGACATCATGGTGAAACCCCATCTCTACTAAAAGTACAAAAATTAGCCAGGTGTGGTGGTGCATGCCTGTAATCCCAGCTACTCAGGAGGCTGAGGCAGGGAGAATCACTTGAACCCAGGAGGCAGAGGTTGCAGCAAGCCAAGATCACGCCATTGTACTCTGGCCTGGGCAACAAAGTGAGACTCCATCTCAACAAACTAAAACAAACAAACAAAGAAAACTACTGTAATCCAAAGAGAATAATCACATAATGGGAAAAGCTGGGTCACTATAGTGTTTACTATATACAATCCAGAACTGGAAATAATTGCTATCTGTAAAGAGGGTATGGTTAAGTAAATTATGCTTATTTCTAGAATAGAACACTATGTAACTATTAGAAATAATAATGTGGATGTCTATTTAGTGACATGGAAATAGCTATGATATATAATTGCTAAGCAAAAAAGTAGATTACAGGAGAGCATGTAACTGATTTCAGTTATGAAAATTGTATGTACGTATCTATATGTAAAGATATGTATATAGAAAATGATTAGAATGATATTTATCCAAGTGAGTTCATGGTGGTTATTTCACAGTGGTAGCAATTAGAGATGTTATTTTCAGTTTTCCTTTTGCTTTTCTTTGAATTTTTCTTTTATAAAGACAGAGTTTTGCTCTGTCGCCAGGCTGGAGTACAGTGGTGCAATCTCAGCTCACTGCAACCTCCGCCTCCCGGGTTCAAATGATTCTCCTGCCTTCTGCCTAGCTGGGACTACAGGTGTGCACCACCACACCCAGCTAATTTTTGTATTTTTAGTAGAGATAGTGTTTCACCATGTTGGCCAGACTGATCTCAACCTCTTGACCTCATGATCTGCCTGCCTCGGCCTCCCAAAGTGCTGGGTGGGATTACAGGCATGAGCCACTGTGCTTGCCCACTTTCCTTTGAATTTTTCTAAAGAGCACACGTAAATTTTTACCAAATTCACAAAGCTATTTTAAAAAACAAAATGACATATAAACTTTCCAAAATTCAGTCATAGAATACTAGGTTGGACTATGCATTGATAGGTACTGATGCAGTAATTCTGAAAAAGAATTATGACATTTCTTACCAATTAGTTCTGGTTTCTTGTTTGATGTAATCTGATAAAAAATATGATAACTTCTCTCAGCCTTAAGCTGGAAAGTAACTCTAGACTTCTCTAACAGATCTGGAAGGAAACAAGTAACAAATAAGAAATGTGTAGCAATTCATTTGACATGTGAATTTGATTTTTGGTCAGTTTTTTAGATCATAAGAAGCAGAAATGATTTTAAACGGATCTGAACACTTACATGTTTCAATATCAGCAGATGCCAGTTTTCCTGTAGTGCCAAAATGGATTCTGATGAATTTACCCTTGAAATAAAAACTAATATTACTACCTTGTTTTTATATAATATCAAATCTTTGAGAAATTCAAAACATTTGATGCTCGTACTTTAATATGAAATCAATTAAGAGAATATTTGTATCAGGTAGAAAAAGGTGTATCTCCTATTTTATAAGTGGAAGAGTTTTATCTTTGATTTAAAAATTGTAAATATTTATTAAGTATGGGAAGTAATGGATATGTTAATTAGTATGTTAATCATTCCGTAATGTACATATATCAAAACATCACATTTTATTTTGTAAATACAATTATTATTTGTAAATTAAAAATAAATAAAAATGTTAAAATAGTGAATAATTGTAGATCATGACAGATAAGAAAAGGTCACATATCCTTCAAGATGAAGCTCTGATCCGTGTTATTACATGCTCAGAGGAAAAGGAAAGAACAATAATGTAGTGTAATGGGAATGAAAAAGATTCAGAGAATATATTTACAAACATCTCAAAAATTTTGACCAGTGAACAGTATCTATTAGCGTGTCCAAGAGACTTACAAAGCGAGAGGAGTTGTCATTCCTCACGGTCTTGGCATTGCCAAAGGCCTCCAGTAGGGGGTTGGCACTGATGATTTGATCTTCCAGAGTCCCCTGCAAAGGCAAGAGCAGTCCTTGCATCTGGGGCTTGGGAATTTCCTACCTGAGAGTCCCGACAGATTTTGACTGACAATCAGACTCACCTGCATTTTGCCAGAAGCAGATTCTTCCTTCTTCTTCTCTCCAGTAACTGCAATTGTTGCAAAGTACTGGATGACACGCTTGGTGTTCACGGTCTTCCCTGCACCAGATTCTCCGCTGTCAAATCAAAACTCAATCAGGTGTGGTCTAAAAGCTAGCAGCTATCACAGCCATGTAAAGAAAGCATAAAATCTACTTACGTGATCAGGATTGACTGATTCTCTCGGTCTACAAAAGAAATTATAGACTTTTAATACTGTTTTCCTACATATTTGTAAATGATCAGTAAAGTAAAGTGAAATGAACTCAATATTATTCAGTCTGGCCTTTGCAATCTTTAGGGCTTGACAGGCTCTAGGCCTACCACTTCGTCCCTCCCCAGCTTTAGCACACATGCACCCATTTCAACAGAACACCACCACTTTTATCAGTGTATGTTCAAATCTTCCAACAAGTATTTCATTTGAGGAAAAAAAATTCTATGATGAAGGAAAATGTTTGAAAGTGATGTTTATAAGTGATGACCACATGGCTGTGTATTCCTGAAGCACCACACTTTTTCTTTTTAATACTCTCGTCACTAAATAAACACCAAAAGTAGACTTGGCTCTTTGGTTAGGTTGAAATGATGATTTAAGTTAGGGACATATATAAATTGTGGGTGCAAGACGTAATGAAGAATGAGCATTAGAGGTATTTTTGGTGTGCGAGAAGGAGTAAGTATAGTAAAGGTGACAGCTTTAGAAATATAGCTTTAATCATATTTTTAGGAAGAGGTAAAATTTTGTTTGATGTTTTACTCTCTGAACAGGAATTCTCTAAGCCCTTTCCAAGGTGCCACAAGTACTTTAGATTGATCTAGCCAAGACGATATTGTAGGAAGCAGATTCAACATGTAACTTCTTAATACCAAATATACCTTAAATCTGGAGCCTGTTCAGGTTGGTTCTGGGCAAAGGACAACAGCATCCTTAATATAGAGAGACCTTTATCTGTCACAATTTAGGATGCTGAGGCAGAAACCACAGAGTCAAGTTTTACTCTTCTGTTTTTTGGTTCATAGTAATGGAGACACAGTTTCTATGTGTGATTATGTATGCATGGGTGTTCGTGTATATACACATACACACAGAAATGGTTGTATTTTTACTCATATTTATTTGAGTTTCTGAGTCATTCAAAAGTATATTAACTAACTATGGCTAGCCTCTTGCCTTTTTAAAATTTAAGAGATCGTTAGCAATTATGTAATATTAAGGATTACAAATCAGCCTTTCTCCCCTTCCTGGACTTTCTCCTTCATAAGTACACCAGCCTCAACTAAAAGAGATGAGCTCAAAGAATGTGTTGGGATTGCCTAGAGTCTCGTTCTCCTATGGTTCTATTCTAAAAGGTTTATGCACTTGCAAAGCATTTGGCTCACTCACCGGTCAGCATGAACTGATAGGCGTTGTCAGAGATGGAGAAGATGTGGGGCGGGGCCTCCTGGCGCTTTTTGCCTCGGTAGGCACCCACCACCTCGGGGTTATACACCGGCAGCCACTTGTAGGGGTTGACAGTGACACAGAAGAGGCCTGAGTAGGTCTATGAAAATGAAAAAATAGAATAAGCACCCAAAGACCTTTCCTGTTATTGTGCAATTAACTTATTAATTGAATGTTATTTTTGAGACAGAGTCTTACTCCGTCACCCAGGCTGGAGTGCAATGGTGCTACCTCAGCTCACTGCAGCCTCAACCTCCTGGGCTCAAGCAATCCTCCCACCTCACCTTCCCAAGAAGCTGGGACTACAGGCATGCATCATCATGCCCAGCTAATTTTGTATATACTTTTTGTAGAAATAAAGACTCACTTTGTTGCCCAGGCTTGTCTGGAAATTAATTGAATTTTAACAAAAAGGAGCACTTTAAATGAGTAGTTTTATTTCTTCAAGGTATCAGCATGAAAACTAGTTGGCAGATTCAACAGTGTGATAGCAGAATCCTAGGGAAGTGACTACAATTCAGATTTCTTATTGCTTGCTGCCCTCGGGGCTTTTTACAATGATTTTTACATAGCAGAAGAAGAAATACATGTTTTTTAAAAATGGCCACGCACAGTGGCTTACGCCTGTAATCCCAGCACTTTGGAAGGCCGAGGGAGGAGAATCACGAGATCAGGAGTTCAAGACCAGCCTGGCCAACATGATGAAACCCCGTCTCTACTAAAAGTAAAAAAATTAGCCGGGCGTGGTGGCACGTGCCTGTGATCCCAGCTACTCGTGAGGCTGAGGTGGAAGAATCACTTGAACCCAGGAGGCGGAGGTCGCAGTGAGCCGAGACTGCGCCACTGCACTCCAGCCTGGTGACAGAGCAAGGCTCCGTCTCAAAAAAAAAAAAAAATCTGAAAAATTAGCCAGGTGTGGTGGTGAGCACCTGTAATCCCAGCTACTCAGGAGGCTGAGGCAGGAGAATTGCTTGAACTGGGGAGGTGGAGATTGCAGTGAGCAGAGATTGTGCCACTGCACTCCAGCCCCAGTGACAGTACAAGCCTCCGCCTCAAAAAAGTAAAAATTATGATATGAAACCTTGTATTGTTTTATGGAAATGAGTATATATATTCTTTGCAGCATTAAGACAATTCAAATATATGAGAACATAAATTTGGACATAAGCTAAGTGCCTAACAGTAAGGGAATGGCTGGGTGAACTATGGTAAATCTTTTAAGAGAATATGATGCAGGCATTTTAAAAAGTAAACATGAATGTATACAGCAACACTTGGAAAATATTTACAAAATATTTTTAAGTTATGAGGAAACAGAACACAAAATGATATATATACATGATGATTACAAGAGGGGATTTTAAAAGTCTTTGATGATTGGTTCAAGACAGGCACCAACCAGTTAGACTGGATGCTAACCATCAATACTAGGTACATTTGCATAGGTGTTGCCTAACTATCAGCACTGGCTAAACTATGCAAAAATATGAATGTAACATAATAAATTCAATTTAAAAATATTTACTGCATGTGTATTATCTGCAGGCCTTTGCCAGACAGTAGAAATGAAATCGGATAAATGAGATGATGTCCCTGGAAGAATCCCCGGTCTGTGTAGGAGACAGTCATGTAAATGAATGATCAAGGAGAAACATGGTCAGTGTTACTGCAGGGACTGAAACAAAAGGACAGAACATCTGACTGCTTGGGGAAGTGGGAAAGGTTTCATCGAGGAGGTGGCATTGCAGATAGAAGGGACCAGAACACACAGATACAAATTGCTGTTATTTTAGGGGAGTGAAAACGAGTGAAATTTGGTTTTTTTTTTTTTTTTAAAAAAAAGGATTTTAGGCCGGGTGTGATGGTGCACACCTGTAATCCCAGTGCTTTTGGAGGCAAGGCAGGCAGATTGTTTGAGCACCGGAGTTTGAGACCAGCCTGGGCAGCATGATGAATCCCTGTCTCTACTAAAAAAAAAAAAAACCAAAAAAAAAAAAAAAAATTAGCCAGGTATGATAGCATATGCCTGTGATCCCAGCTACTCTGGAGGCTGAGGCATAAGAATCGCAGGAGGCAGAGGTTACAGTAAGCTGAGATCATACCACTGTACTCCAGCCTGGGAGATAGAGTAAGACTCTGTCTCAAAAAAAAAAAAAAAATTAAAATTAAAAACGTTTAAAGTGTTAAGACATGTTTATTTTTTCACTCTGATGATTCTGCAGCTGGAATGGGGAGGAGGAATGGGGAAGATGGCAAGTGATTGAAAAATAAGCAGTAGCTGCTCAAATGCCTGTTTAAGGGTTTCATGGCCAACCCAGTCAACATGGACAGTGGCCTTCCCCAGCTTTGGATGGGAAAACGAGGTAGAGCTGGCTGTTGAGCTGAGCTTTACAATAGCAATAATGAAGGCTTTTAACTAGTTATGCTGTGATGAAAGTGAAATGGGTCACTACTTGTGACCTATTTATGCTCAGTGGATGAAGTGGGACGGTAGAGTACATGAGGATGATTATAAAGAGCACTGGCAGGGGCCACTCACGTAGATCATCCAGGCTGCATAACGCTCTTTGAGGTTGTACAGCACAGCAGGCTCATGCAGGTGAGTCATCATGGCCATGTCCTCGATCTTGTCATATTTGGGAGGGTTCATGGGATAAACCTGATCGTCCTTCACTGTCAGAGTCTGGTAAACAGGAAAGATAATCCTTCACATTAATTGAGTGATCAAAAAAAAAAAATCAATCAAATGTGGCACGCTCCTGGGATTCTACTCACCGCTCCTGCTTCAGTCTTCACCGTCACTTTTCCTGCTTCTCTGCTCTGGATGGTCCCTTTGACAAAGGATTCTTTGGGCTCCGCCACAAAGACAGATGTTTTGGCATCAAAGGGCCTATTTTGGGCCTCAATGCGCTCCTTTTCAGACTTTCGGAGGTAAGGAGCAGCCTCCCCAAAAACAGCCATTTCTGAGTCTGAACTCATGGCTGCTGAACTTAGAGGTCCTAAAGGAGATAAAACTTTTCACATTAGAGAGTCTGGATTGCCATGTATACCAGTAAATCTTAATATTTGTTGTATTTCATGGGCCCAGTTGGAAATTTCACTAGGCAGGTCTCCGGTGTTCACCAGGCTGTAGTTACTGAGATAAACATAATCACAAGAATGAAAATGCATCAGGTGGTCTCTGTGTACCCAATACCGTATTCAGGGCTTTGCATCCGTTACCTTCTTTCATCCTCCAAGACTCACATTCTCATCGGGAACTGAGTTACAGTCCTGATGTCAAGTCGGGACTTCACAAGTCAATGCTCGTCAAGTAGCTTGTGACCTTGGGTATGTCACTTAATTTTTTTTGAGCCTAAGTGACTCCATCTTTAGAATTGGGATTATAAATTCTGCCTTTCTTAATTCACAACTCAATAAATGATGAAGATACTTTGAAAAAGAGATTTAAATGATGACTGAGAAAGTAATTTGCAATTGTTTAGGCTACCATTTATATATATAAGATGTCACGAATTATTGTGTCACAAAATTCCATGTCTTGAATGTAATGTAAGAGAACTTTATTTCCTCCTTTACCTGTTCAGCCAGATTTGTTCAAGTTCTGTGGTTTATGGGAGATTACAATTTTGTTTACTGTTTTTCTTTTAGGTTGGGTGCTTAGTATAGTTTCTCTAACATAATTTTTTTGCATATTAAATACAGATAATCAGTTTAACCCATTTAAACTAATTAAGGATAAAAACAATAGCAAACATTAACCTTATTCTTCTACATTGAAGAGCTCCCGTTGCTATTCCAAATGTTCCTTTGAAGCATGCAGGCCCTGTTTGCTCCATTCTGTGTTATCTGCAGGTTGCTAGTGGTATCAGTAGAATGAAAGGTTTGGCAAAGAATGCTCCTGCGGTCATTACGTGATCAAATTACTTGAAACTCATTTGTAATATCTCTCCTAGTCTCTCCCTTTAGAAGTGCAGTACATAGTGGCAGGGTAGATAAATACCTCTATTATATGTAACAAAAGTGCCATAGCACTCAGCATTGTGTAAGGCGACTTTTTGCAAGGGCTATAAAAAGTTTAAAGGAAGCATTGTCCTACTTACTTCCTTTTTAATCTGTTGGATATGATGTTTACCAAGTGAATTCTAACAGCAGGATACATTTTTATCAAATTTGAGATTTTTAGCAAGGGAATCTGAGGGTAGACTTTTTTCCTGCACAGACAATATATTTATTAAAAGCAATTCCCTTGCTCAAATGTCACCCCACCGATGCTTGAGCCATAAATGAGGATGTGTGCATTGTTCTGAAAGGACAGCCCTCCCTTTCTAGCCCCTTTCCTGAAGTACGGTTGTCAGAAGGTATTTACTGAGACAAGCACTCTCTGAAAGGTTGCTAAGTGACATAAATCCATCCCAGAGCCTCTTGCATTGTCCTCTAGGAACTGCTTAGTCCAAATCTTACCTTGTTAGCAAGTGAGAAGATGTAGCCTGGGACTGAGACAGTTCTATAAAAGAAAAGGGAAAAGCACTTGATTAGTTGACCAAAAAGAGGGGGAAAAATCCATTTATGGCATTAATTGCTATTGTAAACAGAAAGTAACAAAATTCAGAGAAGTAAAATGTGGAGTTCCAGAAGGAGCAGTACCAGAACTAGCAGCTGCTGCTTACACTGGGCGGTGTGACCAGTGTCCCTCTTGAAAGACCGTCCTGCTCCCACTTACCTTGGAGCTTTTTAAAGCAGGACGAGTCAGCCTCATTCCAAGGGCTCTTTTATATGGATAGCTATGGAAACAATGCAGCTGCCTCTTCTTTCTTAAGTCAAAAGGAATTGTTTGGCAAAATACCTCTTGGCAATCTAGCGTCCCCACATAATTCTCATTCATATTAAGAATGGTTGGATATAATTAGAAATATTTTTCTTATTGAGTATGTGGATAAATCTCCTATGGATAATTTGAGAAGATGATCTGAAAGAAAGATTCAAGCTGGTGGATAAAGGCCGCGTCTGGGCAGCCAGGATACCTGGCTTCCCTCGGAACTTCTTTTTGGCATTGCTGGGCATACCATTCAGGCCTGCCTTGCATCACTTTCGCATATTTCACATGTTAAATCACATAAATAAAATACAAATATGTATTTTAATTTTGTGAGAGTTAATTTTTACCTGTTGATTCTTTCTCTCCAGCTCTGCAAAATTGAGCAATGTGCCTTCAACAACTTAAAGAGATAGAAAGACCTCTCTGTTGTGCCAATATTCCTGTAGTTTTAGGAATTTCCTTGCTCTCTCACCTTTTTGCTTTTGCCAAAGTTGTTCCCTTTACCCAGCACACCATTTCCTGTCCCCCTGCCCATTTCACTTGCCTGCAGTAAAAAAAAAGGCTGAATATTTTCTAGTAGCAAAGGCGTTATCAGAGAGTACTTTTCAACATTTTTTGTGTCATAGTATGCTGAGAAAAAATGACAATATTAGTGTAGTAATGTGGAAGGGTTTTGTCTGTGTTGATAAAGGGCTTGGAAAGAACATTTTTAATTTTTTAAACATTCCTTTATGTAATAGAAATATAATAAATATGATATGCATAGCATTAAGGAAAATAAAAATACTGAATATATCTGAAACTTAATACCTTCTTGAAAATCTTAAGGAAAAATTTGAGCTATATCTCACAAATAAAACTTGTTTGTATGTGACTTTATACTTGAAATATGACACAAATTTCCTGATCAAATTTTCAAAAATGATACAAACAATATCTGTGTTCTTGATAACTAACATAGTGGGTATCTTTGCCCAAGGAGGGATGAGAATGAAAAACTAGGTCATTTACCACTGTTGAAGTATTTAAAAAATTTACCAGCTCTTCTTTTTCCTTCATTGAAAAATGTAATGTTGAATATTCTCATATAATGAAAATGTTTTTAATCCATTTGAAGTCTCTCTTTCATATTAAATATTTCAACGGATAATGAAGCTCTAATCTTCAAAAGCTTCATGGGTTAAAGGAGTCACCCAGCTGCTAGGTTGGTCAAAGGGCACGCCAGTCACAAATATACAGAAGTACCTGATCTCTTCAAAGTCTAGAGCTATCGCTGTGAGCTACCTCTTCTAGTACAACCCACTTAGCCTTATGGCACCTTTACTCTGGCTGGATGCTCTCTGGGTTGCATGCCTTGTCCCAGGCATCCTGGAACACCAACCCTCCCAGCAATTCCAGGGGTCTCTTGACTGCAGAAGACAGCATTACATTCTCAGCTGGCTGCTGAAGTCCTTCTTGGTTCCATCCAGCACATGGCAAATACCACCATTGCGCTTGCCTCCTGTAGGGATCATAGGTTATGCTGTCAAACTCTAATGCAGCCCAGTCAACACTCTGAGGAACCCTTGGTCAGCCTTCTCCCAGCTGGGAGCCACCTCCCAAAGCTGTGGTCCCCCCTGCCCATCCAGCCACTCTGAAACTGAAGAGATCAACATTTTAGGCACATCAGTTACCTTTTTGATGCCAAGGCACACTGGTTGGGAAGCTCTTTTTTAAGGTGAGTTGTAGAGCTGTTTTTTTCAAACTAGACTGCCATTTTTAGTGCCCACAGCAATAGTTTAATATTCTCTTGTTCCATGTCTGCTGCCGATAGACATTTTCCTTATGTTTTAATAAATACTTAATGTTATTTATGAAATGATCTTCACTTTCTTTTTTTGAGACAGAGTCTCGCTCTGTCACCCAGGCTGGAGTGCAGTGGCGCCATCTCGGCTCACTGCAACCTCCGCCTTCTGGGTTCAAGTGATTCTCCTGCCTCAGCCTCCTGAGTAGGTGGGACTACAGGCACGTTCCACCATGCCCGGCAATTTTTTTGTATTTTTAGTAGAGACGGGGTTTCACCATCTTGGCCAGGCTAGTCTCAAACTCCCGACTTCAAGTGATCCGCCCGCCTCAGCCTCCTAAAGTGCTGGGATTACAGGCATGAGCCACCGCTCCCAGCCTGATCTTCACTTTTAAGTCAGCTCATGGTTCTGTATTCTGTTTCTTCAGTTGGTAAACTCCTTCAGTGAATACTGTATTCTATAGGTAGCAGCTGTCTAATACGTTGTTTTTGACTGTAAAGCAGAACATGCAAAGCCTTGCTCCCAGTGGTTGAGAGACACACCTTAGTTATTCCTGTGCCACTTGGCTCATGATTTGTGACTACGAAATGTTCTCTGAGAACGTAGGCTTAAGGAATATGTCATTCAGGATCATCTTTTCCACTCTGTAAACAGGTCAAAGACATATAGACATTTTGCGTCTTTTTCTTGATTTCACTGTATTTTTACCACTGCTGCAATAAGTCAGGGTCTTTCTACTTTGCATTGCTCACACTTGGGAATAGCTGTCACGTTTTGGGGTGGTGGCAGCTTGGGAATGAGCATCAGCTACTCATCGAGTGTTGCTACTCTCTGAATCTCCTTGCATTGTCTGTGCCATTCAGAGAGAACAGCAGCCACTGACCTTGTCTTCAGGAAGGTTACAATCTGAGAAATCAAGAGAGCACTAATAGATGGCTCAAGTCACCTTCAGAACAATGTGATGGCAGCCTTTAAAAGATACGGTGTACAAATCCTTTGCAAAAAAGGATCCATATTTTCTGCATCTACTTGATCCTCATCAACACTTAGGATTGTACTGACATGTAGAAAGTCCCCCTAAATTCTAGTTTATAAATTCCCGGAGGCTCCAGGTTTCTTTATCCTAATCATTCTTGTCCCCAACAACTGAAATTGGGACCTGGATTTAACTTTTGACTACATACCAGCTATATCCTTGGAAATTTGCTAAACCTTCTCAAGACTCAGTTTTCTGCCCTATAAAAGGGATAAGGAAGTGGTACCTCATAGGGGTTTGTGAGGAGTGAATAAGACACGAAAGTGCTTAGAAGCTGAAAACAGTGCTGGGTACCCATCACTCATTCAACTGATATTAACAGTTGTGATTACTATAGCCCCTCATAGCTTGTTAATTCTTATTCTGAAGTCTCTGTTGGAGTGAAACTAGTTTTCTTTCTGATTTCTGTAACAAGATATGCTCCCTCAATCATTTCAATTACTCAGTAAACATTTGCTGTACGGCAAGCTCTTAGGTAGACTCTCTACTGCCACCATGGAATGCCCTCCTGTCTTTCATATTATTGTTTAATTCAAAATCAAGCTCAGCTCTTATTCAGACATTTTTTTCAATTATTCCCTCAGATAGAGAAAAGGCAGTTTGGCCTCGACAGAAAGACAAACACTTTCAGTTGTTACGTTAAGAAAGGTGTGAAGAAATGAGAAGAAATGAGGGCCCAGGCTAGGGAGTTGGTGGTGGAAATAGAAAACTGATCAAGAAATTGGTTAACTGCTGATGTTTTGAGAGGGGCACTGAATGTTAACTTGGTAGAAGGGAGACTGACATTTCATACCATAACTTTTTGTATTTTCAAAATTTTATGTGGGGTACATGTATTATTGCTTTAAAAATTAAAATTGATGATTTGTAGAAACAGGATCCCCTCTAAAAATTGAAAACCAAAAAAAAAGAACAGATGGGATTAAAAGAAATATGGCCACAGAATTAAAGAGATGGCAGATTAAGCGTTAGAAGAGTCAGGACTCAAGATGAAAGTTTTCCAGTGACTGCTTTTGTCTTTTCTCTGTAAACTGAACTCAGGCTCATCAATCCACATTGTTAATGAGTGTTGATAGTTTCCTAGGAATGCATTGGTTTTCTGGTTCAAACTTGGTACCTTCACACCAGTAACCCACATGTATAAAGCCCCATCGATAGAGAGCTATACATCCAAATGTCTAATCATAGAACTTTCTGAAAATTTGCTTTATAAAGAAAAAAATTGGCTAGTAAGAGTCCTGTGGGAGAGCTCATAAAGTTGTCGAAATACATAATTCAGAGCCACTTATAATTTGAATAAAAATATATAAATATATTCAAATTTACGTATGTATTTAAATACATTTTTATATAAATTACAAATATAATTTTAATCATATATTACATGACTCTTTTTAGTTCCAAATTTAGCTTTCAAAGAATACATTGTTTAGTCCTAATTTGAAATAAGTGGGAAGAAAGAAAGTTTATATCTGCATTCATGGGTAGAATTGTATAGGAAGTTGCTGGATGGATGCTATATTAAAATCCAAGAATCCAAAGACTCGTTGTATGTAAAGCATTCTATTAAGTGCTTCAGAAAGTGGAAAGTGGGCCTAGCTCTCAGTAGCTCCACCAGCACAAAGCACATAATCTGGATGTAAATAAGGGAGTTTGGTGATCCTTCATGGAAAATTTTGGGAGAAGCAAAACTAACTCCCTGAAGACTAAATTAATGTTTGTTTGTTTTTCTAACTTCAAAAGTAAAATAGGTACATGGGTATTCTAAAAGTTTGGAAAAAGCACAGCAAAAGAATGAAAGTTAAGAGAAATGATTTCTTACTAGTGAGTGTAGAAAAAAATGCATTCATTTCTACACGTTTGAACATTTACTTACCATCTTTTATTAAGTTAATTTGATTATGGCATTAAGAGGCATAATCAGTATGTATATGAACTCAATAGTCCTCATGCTGGTCAAATATAGGCATCGATACATATTGAAGTATGGATAGGGCAGATAAATTCTCTTCATTTTCTTTTCTGAGAGACCATGATCTAGAGGGGTATTATACGGCTTACCTAATGAGGGTGGAACTCAAGATTTCTTGCCCCATTCTCCATTGCTTTTAATGCCTAATATATGTAACTCTGAGTGCAGTTCACTCCAGAATTGGTCTAACACTTTTAGGTTGATTGTTAGGATGTACATTCATAAACTGCTAGCCTTACCCAGGCCTCTTACAATATTGTGGGGAAGATAAAATGATAAATATGCCAATAGTTATTGCAGAATGTAGAAAATTTTAAGTGTAGTGCTCCAAAGGAGATGACATGGAATAGGTTCCCCACAAAGCCTTTGCTATCCTGTTTGCTCAGTCTCTTTAAAATTAGCACACGGACTGACAGAATAGATGCAGATTTCCTTCTT